CCTGAACAAAGGAGGACCACGCTCTTGCCCTGGCTGGGCAAGGGCCCCTTGCCCCTTTGACCTCTTGCGGCTGAGGATTGATGTCTCCCATGACTACTCCTGCTCCAGCGAGGCCGAAGCCCTCCGGCAATCTGGCGCCCAGAAGTCCGATGAGCCCCAGGTCTAGGCTGCGCATCGCCTGGAGGATGCCTACTTGGCTGTCTGTGAATGCGCTGCGGCGCCCCTTTTTTTTCCGTCTACGGACATGCAACCGAGTGTGCTCGGAGAGCCCAGCACCAGGTGGACACGGGATCCCTGGCCGACACCTGCAGGACCCGCAGCCAGTATGAGTTCCTGCCGCACGCTCGCCCAGAGACCCACAGGGAGGGAGAGTGAGAGGAGGAGGAGGAGGAGGAGGAGGAGGAGGAGGAGGAGGAGGAGAGGAGAGGAGTGAGGAGGAGGAGGAGGAGGAGGAGGAAAGGGAATTAGGATGAGGAGGAAGTAGAGGGATAATGAGAAGGAGGAGGAGAGGAGGAGGAGGAGGAGTAGGAGGAGGAGGAGGGGAGGAGGAGGACGGATGGGGATAGAGAGGAAGGAGGAGGAGTAGTAGGAAGGAGGAGGAATGATGAGAGAAAGGAGGATTATAAAAGGAGGAAAAAAGGAGGAAAGGAGGAAGGATGGAGGAAGGAGGACAGGAGGAGGAGGGAAGAGGAGGAGGATGAGGAGGAGGAAGAGGAGGAGAATGATGAGGAGGAGGGGAGTAGGAGGGCGTTCATTAGTTATGATGAGGGTCAGGAGAAGTTGCATGCTGAGGCTGAGTAAACGTTACTTATTGATGATTCTTTATTGATTCTTATTGCTCTTAGGAGGCTGCCTCCTGACTTAATTTCCTTTATTCGGATTCATTCCTTACTTATTCTAATTACTTCTTTTATATTTTTCATCTTATTATGATTAAAGCTGTCTTATTATTATTCGTATGCTTATTTCGTCATCTTTTGATTCTTTCTCATTATTGATTTGTCTTTATGGCATGATGTAGGATTCTGCTTCTTAGTATTCGTCTTCTGAAGGAGGTGAGTGCGCGCCGCCCAGGTCCTCAGCTCGCTCGGCCAGGGCCCCTACGCTGTGCTCGCCGAAGAAAAGTGTGTTCCGGCCCCCCTACAGCTCAGGTGTCGCCCGGCGACTGCGCGCGCTCGCCTCATCCTCTCGCGGAAAGCGCGACGGGACGTTTTTGGACAGTTTCGGGCCTCCGGAGGCCTCCCGCTGGGCCCCAGGACCGTCAAACACAATTCGACATGATAAACTGGGCCTGGGGCAAGGGTCGGGACTTCCAGGGGCCCCGCATCGAGAAACTCAAGACGTCGGATGTCTGGGACAGGAGCGTACGATAATCCCGCGATCAGAAATCTAGAGTCACGCTTGTCCACGGATCCTGAGCTGCCTGGTATCCCCAAGGGCTTCTGCGGGCCCCCAGGGTCGTCGGAGGATGAGACTCTTCCCTGGAGCATCTGCTGGCAGGCCAGTGCCGAACATTCTCGCCACATGCTCTGCTGACCTCTGCCATGCATACCCGGCCTCCGACTCTTCAATGACTTTTCGCATGCTGATGCCGGCCTTCTCCCTCGGGCGGGGGGGGGGCCGAGGGCCATACCTGTTTCACAAGAAACGTGCAATCGGCCAGTACCGCAAGAAGAGCACGACGGCGTTCCATAACAGAGTGACATACAACGAAGTTTTTTGCATTCGTTGTGGGGTGGGGGGTCGTCCTTGGGATGTGGGGGGTGATAAACCGCCACGAAAGGAATCCCCTTTGTATTCCTCAACAAAAAGAAATTCTTTTGTACTCCTCCACAAAAGGAAATTGTTTGTATTCCACAACAAAAGGAATTCTTTTGTATCTTGCTACAAAGAAAACCCCTTTGTATTCCGCAACGAAAGAAATTCTTCTGCATTCCGCCACAAAAGGAATTATTTTGTATTCCGCCACAAAAGGAATCCTTGTGTAATCAGCCACAAACGAAAAACCAACTGTATTCCGCCATAAGAGGGATCCTGGAAACACCGTGTTTTCACAGAGATTCAAAGAATTGCACTTAAAACAATGAAAAACAATTGGTTTCATCAGTGCTTTCACAAAGAACTAGGAGATTCTTAATTTAAAGATTTTTTATTGCCAGGCTCCGAGATTCAGAGATTTTAGTGGTTTTCAAACTATGGGTATTGGTTTGTATGATAACGCTGTGAAAACACATGAATTATCATATTTATATTAGAAAGGTATTGACAGCCCTGTGTTTCCGCAAAGATTCTTAAGAATGTCACATGAAGTTCTTGAATATATGTGAAAACGCATGGTTTTCATGATTTCCAAATAAAAAACTAAAGAAAACCTGTGTTTTCACAGCGTTTTCATATAACAAAAAACAATACCCATAATATGATAATCGATAAAATCTCTGAATCTCTGAGCCTGGCAATGATAAGACCATATTTTTAATTAGAAATCTCGGAACCTCTGTGAAAACACAGATGAAAGCAACTGTTTTTCGCTATTTTGATCAAAATCCACGGAATATCTGCGAAAGCACAGTGTCTCCAGCATCTATATAATTTACAGTAATATTCCTCGGTGGTGGAATCAAAAGGATTCCATGTGTGGCGGAATACAAAAAAAACTCTCTTTGCGGCTGAATACAACAGGATTCCTGTTGTGGCGGAATACACAAGAATTCTCTTTGTGGCCGAATACAAAGGGATTCCATTTGTAGCGGAATACAAAAGAATCCCTTTTGTGGCGGAGTACAAAACGATCCCCTTTGTGGCGGGATACGAAAGGATTCACTTTGTGACGGAATACGAAGGGATTCCTTTTGTGGTGGAATCCAAAAATTTCCCGTGACAGAATACAGAGGAATCCCTTTTGTGGCGCAGTGCAAAAAGATTTCTTTTATTACGGAAAACGAAAGAATTCCTTGTGTGATGATATACACAAGAATTACCTCTGCTGCGGAATACAGAAGGGGAAAACCGCAATGCCTGCATCTACCACAGATCCTATGAGCACGGCGGGGACGGCGGAGGAGAGGTGTTTTGCTGCCGCGAACAAGCGTTTCCTTTGCAGGGAATCTAATTACGTGGTAGCTAGCAGCTACCTTGAAGATACAGTAACTACAGCGGAAACAGGCGCGGACAACCAGCAGTTGACACCCCAATGAAATTTTACATAACAGTAGCTACAGCGGAAACAATGTCGGTCAACCATCAGTTGACATTTAACGAGCACGTTGACGTCATGTCGCCAACACTTCAAGCAACCGACAGCTCTTGCCACGCGAGGTGCATCTCGTAAGAAGCGCGCGCCCTTGATCCTGCAGATGATTCGTGCTGCTGATTAGCGCCATCCCTACGTCGACTTGGTGACCTTTCCAAATCACAAATTGAAAGAATGTTTCGCCGCTAGCAGCAGCATGTGTACACAAACGCTCGGCATTAGTTTCGCTGCTGGAAGCAGCGTTTGTATATGCGATTGACCAGCAGTCGAAATCCCAACCGCCAAGAGGTACGAAGTTAGAGCTGCCGAGTCCCGCCCTTCCAACAGGCGGCGGCCCGCCACGAATGCCAAGAATTGCCAAAACCATAAATACCATCAATCCATTAATCAGTACAACCCAACACCATCAAACCATTAATCAAACCATTAATACATTCAGCACCACGCTGAAAACTGCCCATCGAAATCACGATTCCGCCTCCGACTCCTCATCCTCATCCATTTCCTCGCCAGATCTGCTCTGACCAAGGCTAGCGAACACGTCATGTTGTCCTCAGTCTCCCCATCCTCCTCATGATCCTCGTTTGGCTCGCGCCGCATCTCGCGCCCTACGCGGTGCAATCAATGTTACACTACTATTCGGTGGAGGCGGCTCCCGCGGCGGCGGCGGCATCGTCGGCGGCGGGAGGAGGAGGAGGGGGAGGGGGAGGAGGAGGAGGAGGAGGAGGAGGAGGAGGAGGAGGAGGACGACGACGACGACGACGACGGCGGCGGCTACGGCAGCGGCGGCTCCGGCGGCGGTGGCGGCGGCGGCGACGCCGCCGACGATGGCGACGACGACGACGTGGCAGACTGAAGACGGAGGGGCGATGAGGGGGAACGCAAAGGAGGAGGATCGCAGGATCGCGGATCGAGGGCTTGCGATCGGGGGCCTGCGATCGAGGGCCGACTTGGAGCTCGCCTCGCAATCGCGCGGTGCCCAGGAGAGTGCCGCACCAATCCAGGAGAGCCCTCGAAGTGCCAGGCGGCGTGTCTTGGAGGGGGCCCTGATGTCCTAGACGCGTCTTCGAAAGAGCCCGCACCCTGAACGCGGCCCTGGACCTGAAGGCCGCCCCTGGACGTGAAACTGAACCTGAAGGCCGCCCCTGGACCTGAAGGCCGCCCCTGGACCGCCCCTGGACCTGAAGGCGTTCTGGATGGACCCCTAAACGCTCCATTTCGTCGCTGACCGAAGCGATGCTGCGACAGCGGGGCTTTGCTTTCACCTCTGGCGAACAGCTGGCGCGTTATGTGAGAAGCGAACTACTCCAGACAATCTTCGGGTGCCCATGGGCCCATGGGGATCTAAGCATTTTCCACGCTGGCCCCGGCACGGGCAGCTCTGGGCGGCCCCGCAGAACTCGCGCAACAGATTCGTCGCGCCTGGGCAGCAATCCAACGCTCCCGAAAGCCGCCGGAAGTCCGACTTGATCCGCGAGCGAAAGGATCCAGCTTCTCAGCCCGAGCAAACGGCACAAGAAATCACGCGCGGCAGCCGCGTGAGGGGCAGGGGCCCTGCACCTAGGCCCTCCTAGATTGACCTCCCCAGCCCGCTGCCCCTCAGAGTCACCCCCCGCGGCTGCCTCGCTGCACGCTCGCAGCCGACGCAGTCGAAGACTTAGAAGCCAAGAAAAAGGGAACAACAACAAAAAAAACTCTGAAGGAAGCGAGCCCGCCCCTGGGCCGCGCCACCGCACACGGCCCCCGCCTGCGCCGGGCCAGGGCTGTTGGTGCCCGTCATCGTTTTCAGCAAGTCCGTCATGTACTTTGGCATCTCCGCGTTCGTGCGAACGATCATCTGCTGCATCTGCTCGCCCTGCGCCTTGAGAGCCTCGGCCGTGCCCTTCTTGTCGCGCAGGATGTGGTCGAGGACCCAGTCCACCATGATCGCGGTCTTGGTCTCGCCCCGCACCGAGGTCAACCGCTTGAAGGCCTCCTTGAGCTCCTTGCGCACGGCGTAACCTTTCTCCTTCGCGCGCTTGAGCTTCACGAGCATATCTGAAGCCACCTGCGTCTGGGGGTTGAGGTCCTGCCGATTGGGGTTCCCGAACAGAAGCTTCTGCGTGGCGCGATCTGTCAGCATGGCCGGGTTGCTCACCTCCTCGGCCGACGGCTTCATCTTCTCGAGCTTATCCGAAAAGGCGTCCAGAGTGCGAGCATATTGGACCCCTGCCTCCTTCAGGACCTGCGAAGTGACAGCGGCCAACAACGCCCCGCGGCGTCCACCCGAAAGGTCGCGGCTACTTCAAGGCGATGCCTGCCTCCCCGCCCCCCTCCTCGGCCCACCCCCCCCCCCCACTCCCCCGCGCCCTCGCCATCCGCCCCTATATCTCCCCTCTCTTATCCGAACCTGCCCTCACCCCCACCTCCATAGCGTTAACGCCTTGCCTCGCATGCCTTGAAGCGGCTCGCTATCGGGCGAGGGCGGCGCGACGTTGGGCGCTGGCCACGACCTGGTTAGCCCACGTCAAAGCGTTCTGCCCATCCTGTATCTGGGCGGGGAAGCTCGGGCCCTCGAGGGCCTTCCAGTTGTCCCGGGCCGTGCCCTGCAGGAACTGGGAGAAGGCCTGCACCTCGCTGCTCTTGCCGATGCGAATGCCGAAGTCCTCCTCGCTCGTCGGGATGTCCGTGCCCAGCTTGCCGACCTTGCACCCGCTCGTGACGACGTTGATGAAGCGCCTCAGGTACTCAGCTCGGATGCTCTCGATGTCGCTGGCGGCGCAAGCTTCGGCGAGCTTGGCGAGGCTCGCGCTGACATCCAGCGAGCAGAGAGCATCCCGGGCGACGACCTCCGCCGAGAACATATCCGCCGCGAGGCCCTCGCACACGAATGAGCGACAGTCGGTGAAAGCCCTGTCGATCTCACTCCTGTCCTCAGACACCTGGGTCGACAAGATCTTCTCGACGGGGCCGAGCTTGCTGATAAAAGCATCCTGAGGCCACAGCAAGTCGCCCCCACCAGCCTTCCCCCTCAACCTCCCCCTCCCCGCCGCCCTCGCCGTGCCACGTTGATCCCGTGGTGTTGAATCTGCAAATTATCAAAAATAGATATGTGTACGTATATATGTATATATATACACCCGCATTTCCCTCCGCTCATCTATCATACATAGCTATATATATCCCCCTCTCTATGTATATAGATGCACACATACGCCCTCGCTCTGCATGCACGCATGCATGCATAAATGCACGGGGGGAGGGGGGCGGATTGTCTGCAGGTGTTAGGGATTTGGCCAAGGATGTTTGACGGGTTTGGGCGTTAAGTCGGGGTGAGGATCGCGCGAGGTCGGATCTCGGTGCCGGGGCGTGAGCGTAGAGGTAAGGGCCTCGGGTGTCAAAGTGAGGTTTGGGATCAAGTGCCAAGGTCAGGTCTCGGGCCCCAGGTTCAGGAGCGAAGAAAAAAGTCTCGGGGATGGGTAAGGGGGCGGGGCAAGCATGCGCGCTAGGGGGAAGGTTAAAGCGTTACATCCCACAGAGTCCTGGATCTTCTTGAAGTCCGTGTTCAACGAGGCCAAGCTCGCGGCGATGAAGGCGTGGGCCTGCGCGGCGGACTCCCCCATGGCGTACTTCCCGCGCCACGCCTCGATCGCGTCCCACCTGCCGAGCTTGAGGACGGCGACGGCCTCCTCCGAACTCAGAGAATTAGCGTCATATGCCTTGCGGATTAGCTCGGCGCGCTCGAACCAGCCGCAGCAAAACTTAACCGCCTCGAAGTCGACGTCGCTGCTGCCGTTGCTGCCGCTGCCAAGGCGCTCAAGGTTCTGGGACGCCAGCTGCATCATCTCATATGCCTCACTGTGGCCCTGAGCCGTCTCTGCCCGAGGCTCGAACCATCGTTCGGCATCGGCGTGATGAGTTGCCCAATTCCCGATTGCGTGGCCCGCCAAGGCGCGCGCTGCGAATCCACGTCCAGCGAGATGTGCTAAAAAAAAAAAAAAAAAAAAAGTAAAAAAGTAAAAACAAAAAAACAAAAAAAAAGAGAGAGAAAAAAAAAAAAAAGAAAACAATGAAAAAATAAAAAATGTAATAAAAAAAAAAAAAAACAAAAAAAAAAAAAAAAAAAAAAAAAAGAAAAAATGAGAACAAAAAAAAGAACAAAGAGAAGAAAAATAAAAAAAAACAAATAAAGAAAAACACAAGAAAAGAAAAAAAACAAAAAAAAAAAAAAACGCCCTCGAGGTGCACCTCCACGGCCACGGCTTCCCCGGAGCCCGCCTCCTTGGACCACTTGGACCACTCATCGAGCTTCTTGTAGTCGGAGAGCCCCACCGTCTCCTGCTGGAGGAGCGCGGCGACGGCTGCGGAGCCCTCGGCGGTCTTGGCCTCGAGCTTCAGGCGATCGGCGCTGCTATCGCGGACAGCCTTCGCACGTGCGACGATCAGTGAGCCGGCGCTGCTGAACTTGATCAGCACGTCGAGGACGCTAGCTGTGATGGACTCATGCTTCTCCTGGATGCCGTTGAGCAGCCTATCCACCTCTTCGCACTCCTTCACGCTGTCGAGCGTTGGCCGGCAGAGCAGGCGCATGCACCAGAGCTCATCAAACAACTCCGCCCCAACGAAGGTTTTGGCCGCATCTTCGGTGAATGGCTGAATCCTGGACCTCAGCGCGCTGAGGACCGCCGCAGCCCCCTCCCCTGATTTCTGCAAGCAACTCGCGAGCATGTCGCGGATGCGATCGCGCTGGAAGGGCCCCGGATTCTCGATGTCCTCGATGACGCCGCGACGGTGGAGCTTGAACTTGCAAAGCTCACTCGGGAAGCTAGGGCACTCGGCCACCTCCGACAGGACATCGTAGTGGACGCTCCAGATGTACGGGCAATCAATCGAGACGTCATCCTTGTCGGCGACAAAAGCCACCAGGCGGTTGAACCCGTCAATCCACTCAGCAAAAGCCTTCTGGTCCTGGGCGGCGCCCTTCAGCGAGGCGTGCAGCTTCCCGCAGGAGTCCATGACCTCGAAAATGTGCTTGGCTCTGGTGCGCGCCGCCCTGGCCTCGCCATCCGCTGCCTCCTTCATCTCCTTCTCTGCCCTTGCGATCCAGCGCTTGACGCAGCGTTGGAGGACGGACCATTTAGAGTTGAAGTAATTCGAGGTCTCGTCGGCGGCCCTGAACTTGGGGTACTCGCGGTCGAGGACCACGGAACTGGGATCGGACTTCCTTCCTGCCTTACCCGGCGGATCTCCGCCACTGGCAGGCGGCTTCGGCGGCCTCGGCGTTCCCGACGGCTTCTGCGGGCCGCCAGACCGCCTGGGGAAGGGGGCAACGTAGACAACCTCAACTCGCCCACCCTCCCAGATGTCCTCAAAGCCCTCAGAAGCGAACCCCCTCAAGGCGCTCATCCTGGGCCCGATGGGGAAAGGGATTCCAGGAACCTCGCCAGAAAGGCCCGAGCATCTTTTGGGTGCACCTCCCATCAGCGCACTTACCTTGGGCTCCTCTGGGGGCCCTCCCAGGAGGCCCTAGAGGGCGCTTTCACTTGGGCCCTCTGAAAATCCTTTCGAGACCACGGGAAACGCCTACGGCCGCTCCAGCAGGGGGCAAGCGCGACGACGGCGCAAGGATGAAAGCCCAGGAGAACGGGGTCGACGAGACCAGTGAGACGACGGGGCGACCGAACAAGTTCAGACGAGCAGGGCGAGGAGGAGCAGGAGAATAACCAGGACTGGGAGAGCGGGCGAGGCAAGCGAGGAGGGAAACCTGAGGAGGGCTGGGGAGATGCCAAAACCCGAAGTTCCCTCCCCTCGCAGCCTTGCGCTGCCAGTGTTCTTCTGGGTCGCGCGGCCAGCGCGGCCCGTGGACGCGCGCGTCGGCTGATCGTCGCAGTCGACCACGCCCCACTTCCTCGACCTCGTCACGGAGGGCCCCGCGGCTGGCTCCTGGCCCCCACCTGTGAGAAGACGCCCCCGCCCGAACCGCCACTTGCCCCGTGCGGCCGCGCCCTCGCCGCTCGACCGCCACCGAGGGCAGACGAGAGTCGGCGTAGCATATAACATAGCAGAACATGCCGCGCTACAAGGTACACGGAGTGACATAGCATAACACAGCATGACATAGCACATGAGGTACCATAGCATAGCACATAACACAGCATAGCAGCATAACATTACATATCCCACGAGCTCCCAGCGGGGTCGAATAACGAGTTACAATGAACAATGACCGCACAGAGCAAGCGACGGGGCGAAGGCGGACGCGCCCTCCCCATCCACCTTCCTGCTGTACGGCATCCGCCTTCGAGGTGTTGGCCTCCCTGACCGCGGCCAGCATTTCCTCGAGGGTGCACGCCTTCTTGGTGATCTCGCTCAAGGCCTCCCCCTGCTGCTCTACCAGCTCCTGAAACTTGGCGTCGCACTCCTCCTCTGAGTCGTCGGTGTCCTCCTCCGCGAGAGTCTCCCTGTTGTCCAGCACCGTGGGATAACTTGTCTGGAGCTTCCAGGGGGTGCCCTTGGGGGCTGGCATGACGACCACGTCCTTCCCGTTGATCGTTGCCCTGCGGTGGCCTAGTTTTTTCTGAAGGGTCTGACTCACATTATCCTGGTATTCGTCCCATGGGAGGACATCTGGAGCGGGCGGCAAGAGGGAGTCCTTCTTCATCTGGTGGCGCGTCAGGCGCTTGGCGGGGCCCGAGGGCGCCGCATTGCTCTTCCTCCACGTGCCCTTCTGGAACTTGCGCTTGCCGCGCTCCACCGTGACCGCCCGATGGCCCATGAAGGTGTCCATGAACGCCTTGCTATCTTTGATATTCTTGGCGCAGTCCTCGCGCGTCATGAGGTGCCTCATCTTCGAGCGGTACGTGGTGGCGCATATCTTATCTGCCAAACCCCCGTCGTCCTCGTACTCCCACTCGATCGTCTTAGTCGGGTCCACGGGGCACCTGGTTTTCCCGCAGATGGCACCACAGAGAAACATGCAGACCTTCTGCTTCCTCTGGGGAGGCTCCTCCTGCCGCTGCCCTGGCGACTCATCCCTGGCGCCGCGCTTCTGCTTGATCCGTGCCGGGGCCGTTGGCGGCTGAGCATCGGGCGGATTGGTCTTCCCGAAAAGCCCGAACCTGGCCACGCCGGGCAGCTTGCACCTCCCTGCCGACTTGGAAGACCCCGCCTTCCCGCTCCTCTTCTCGTCCATGGCTGCCGAGGGAGCTGGTCAAGTCGGAGTCTCAACGGGGCGACCTCCAGACAAAACTCGCTCGAACTTGAAAGGCTGAATGACCTTGGGATGGGTGGTCAGTGGGCCGACTCGGGCCAGCAGAGGGTGACCGAGGTGACCTGGGGGCCCAACCAGGGCCGGCGACGCCGCCCCTTCGACTGCCCCAGTCCCCTTCCACGCGCCCGCGGGCGTCTGGGTTGCTTCCGGAGCCCCCCGAACCTTCGGGACCGATCGAAAGGCCCTTGGAACCCATCGAAGAAACCGGATGGGGGCCCGCTTGGCAGTCCGCCCTCAAATGTTGGTGTCGGGGCGGGGGGGGGGACCTTCGGATCCCTCGGGACCTACATGGGCCCTCCAGCGGCCACCCAGGCCCTCCACCGGCCGCGACTTGCCCCAGGAGCGAAGTGTCGCATATGATATACGATGTCCCCCAGGCCCCAGGCCCCAGGCGCTTCGCATGTGCAGCCGAGGGCACGAGAAGGGAACATGGTACTGATGCTGGAAACGCTCCTGAGGCCCCCTCGCCCTACCTGAGGGCCGAGGGATCTCGCGGGGCCCCGAGAGAAACTCGAAGACCCTTCAGAAACTGTACATAAGGGGGGCACCTGTCGGAAACTGCGACGGGGCCGAATGCCATCAGCTCGGACTCGCCAGAAGAGGAAGAGGAAAAGGATGAGGGGGAAAAGTTATGGCGAAGGCGGCTTTTATTTCTTCCCGCTGCCCCCAGAC